AGTCTTTATAAAAGACGCGTTGACATTGGGAGTTCAAGAGCTTTCAGATATTTATGCTGTGTATAAAACCTAAAACCCTGTTTTATCAATTTTAAAGTTTTTAGTTGCAAATCCTACACTGTTGGTGTTGCAAGTGTTGCTAAGATACCAAACAACAAAATGTCATCGTCATCCAACTACAATACCAGTACTCCACCATACAATGGCAGGCTTGGTTACAATGCAGGGTCGTCATGGTGTTCTGCTACGTCAGACTCTTTTCCATACCTACAAATTAACCTGAACACACCTTATGTCATTTGTGGTGTGTCAACACAGGGTGACCACATGTCCAACCAATGGGTGCAGGCTTACTATGTACAGACATCAAGTGATGGCAGGTCATTCACTGACTACAAACAGAATAACATTGTTAAGGTAATGTTATCGTCCTCGTATCGTCATCAAAGACAGTAGATTGAACTTTTTATTGACTGAAATCCGCTTTATAGCCGTGTTTCAAATATCAAAGATCCTTTTATCAATAGGAATTTGCTGGTAACATCGATCCCAACACAATTGTTCAAAACCTGCTGTACGAGGGAACTGTTGGTCAGTACGTCCGCATACGACCTAAGAGTCATTATGGATCTACAAGCTGTATGAGAACAGAACTGTATGGTTTACCACAGACTACAGGTATCGCTATTGCAATATGTCTTACTCAAACCAATGTCACCCCATAATCTTTTCCAGTAATGTCCATCTCGCTAGTAATGTCGTCACCATCAGATGTCCCGATAATTTATTTTTAGACAACCAATCACAACGCGCGCACATATAACACGGCAATACTAGCGAGATGGAAACTTCTGGTTATGTAATGCTGGGATGAATATACTTTTATATTCCTCAATGTGCATGACATTCCTTATTATATACACAGTTCTTTTTTGTTTGATATGTGAGCAAGTGAAGTTTTTGTAAACTTCAAATGACGTTAATAGTTCGTTATTTAAAAGTGTTTGTCTTTCGTCAATGTCATGTAAAATATTCCTGTCAATCAATTTGCGCGTTCCGGAAATCGCTTCGTCGTTGTATAAGCTTTGTGTTACATGTGATTAAACCAGTTCTGTCCTACCCTACAAGCAGTAAGGTTCTGTTTGCCTGGGTATAAATGTAATTTATGTAGTCTAGTTGAAATCAGAGTTACATACTCTAACCGTAACTTTGTGAGGTTATGACAATCATCCACTAATGAGAGTCAAATACTCTCGGTAAATGAGGACCTTTGGCCCGGTCACAGATATATACATAAGTACTTTGAAATTACTCCTAGATAATTTTTTGTTAAATATGAAGTGTAGTTTCTTCCATAATACGATTTTTTTAAGTTTGTTCAAGAATTTCCACTGGTATATCGTCTCCAACTATTGTTCCTGATCACCGATTTACTGCAAGTTCATATTATAGTAGCGATTTTGTACCAAGCAATGCCAGGCTTAGGAAGAACAATGTAGCCTGGGAACCTGCAAAGGGCAAACAACCTGGTTCCTGGCTGCACATAGATCTTGGTTCTGTGGTGTATATTTGTACGGTTGCAACTCAAGGGAATGGCCATTCTGCCAATGAATATGTCAAGAAATACAAGCTCAAAACATCAAGTGATAATATTAATTGGAAATATTACCAGGAAAAAAATGCAGACAAGGTGATCAAAGTATTACAGCTACAATAATTATGGTCTCGCCCAATTCAATGAATAGTTGAAAAAAAAAACTAATTTCCATTTCTTAAGGCCCGTTTACACTTACGATTTTTGAAGCGCGATTGTGGAGGCGACCATCGCCTGAGTTTCAAACATGCTTGAAAATTGGCTGGAACTGCACGGCGATTTTCCATCGTCGTAACAATCGCAGGGCTGTTTACATGTACGATTTTAGGTGCACGATGTGCGCGATAGACAATCGTGCTGCAAAAATCGCAAGTGTAGCGAGGCTTTAAGGCCCGTTTACACTTGCAATATTCAGTGCAGTGCGATTGTCGCGCGAAAATCGCCACTTTGCTCTCTCAAACAACTAAAGTCGTACGTGTAAACAGCCCTGCGATTGTTGCGACGATGGAAAATAGCCGCGAAGTTGCAGACAATTTTCAAGCATGTTTGAAACTCATGATCAGGCGCGCGATGCATGGTCGCGCGACGATCGCCGCGAGAATCGCTCAGGAAAAATTGTAAGTATAAACGGGCCTTAAGAAAGACTCAAAATTCCACTCTAGCTAAATATTAACAAAATTAATATGTAGGAAATGAAATGGTAAAAACCAGTCAAGCAGAGAAAAAGATTGCACAATAGTGTGTTTTCGGCGTGGATCACCAGTGTTCACTGCCATATTTTTAACCTGGCGCAAGAACTGATGGTTTGTTTTTGTTTCAGATATTTACAGGGAATACAAATAAAAACGACATCGTAACAAACACTCTGACAATTCCAACTAGAGCTAAGTTTATAAGATTTTACCCTGTGGACTGGAAAGGTTATGCAGCGATGAGGGTTGAAATCTATGGTGTACCGTTAGGTATGTAATGGTTATTCAATGAGTTATTGGTTTGAAGATGGCTGGGTACGATTGGACTCTTGTTAAGGGAAGGGCTAAATCTCATGTATATAGTAGAGTAGGATGTGTGATGTGTCATAATGTACATGTATATTGACACGAATTAATCCTGCGTCAGGGCAAACCCAGTTTTTAAACATAGTTTGTAATGTTAAAACATTATTCGTTATGGTGTATAATGTGTATAATGATACTGACCATGAGTCTATGCAGTCTACCTACTTAATCCCATAATGTATTCGAATTTGATGCCCAAGGAATTGAAAGACCTTTTTTGTTTTTGCCCAGATAGATTAGATCACTGTTCTAACCTGTTGTATATCCATAGTTATCTTAATAATTAATTATCGATGAATATCTTAAAATGACTTTTGCTTTCCTATAGCTTGCAAAAAACCATTTGGTCTTGAAAAGGGTGGCAAGTTGGGGGATATCAAGATAACGTCATCATCTACAGTAGACAATTCCCATGATGCATCTGATGGACGTCTCTATGGTAATACATCATGGTGCAGTAGTACGTCATCAAACTCAGAGTACATACAGATTGACTTTGGAAAGATGGTTACACTGACTGGTATAGCTACACAGGGTGACCACACCATGGATAAATGGGTCAAGACTTACATCATCAAATACAGTATCAATGGAATCCAATGGAATGATCACCGAGAAGACGGAAATAGTGCCGAGGTAATTGCAGTATATAGTAACTATCTGTTCTAAAATATCCTCCTTTGTTTACGAAGGTATCCATGCTTTTCACTGTAGATCTTTCAAGGAAACAGTGACAGAAGTAGTATTGCAGTCCGATGGTTAAGTCACCCACTCACAGTAAGATATATCAAAGTGCATCCCCAGACCTGGAATAATGCAGTGTGTATGAGAATTGAAGTCTTTGGATGCAACTATCGTAAGTATAATCAGACGTTTTGCAGTATTTACACTGTGGCATAGTGTGTGGCATATTCTTGTTATTGCAACTAATTAATATAAATCGTTTTGCACAGCTTCTGCTCCAGAGATAACCGAACTGTCAAATAAAAACCTTACAGCATCAAGTGGTAGCTATGTCGAGTTGACGTGCCAGGTAAAGGAACCATTAATTCAGTACATTGAATGGTATTCTAATGGTACTGATGTAACAAGTCTTTCTGGTGGTATAACGCGGGATGTTACCTCTGTCAAGTCTGTGCTACGAGTAAACTATACCAATGCTATTGATTTAACCAGGAAATACCAGTAAGTACCTAGTAGCACTAATATCAAGGCTGATATAGTTTTTAGAGTTTTGAATAATCAATTAGAAAGGTACTATTTATTTGGTCAATGAGGGTGTTGGGAGCCAGAGGACCATCAACAACTTACATCCACACTCCTTTCTTGCTTATAAAGGTGTTTCAATGAGGTAAATATTATGGTATGCCGACGGAACTACGTGTGTAAGTCAAAGTATGGAAAACAGAATAGTGAAGCAGATTCTGTGAAAAGTGCGCAGGTCCAAGTTATTCTTGGTAAGAAATCTTAATATCTTCACTAAAATGCATTGTCTACTGTATATTGGTATATAGGATTTTATGTGATTATGTCTTGATTTGGTGGCGTTTTGATTATTTGATTCAAATATTGAAGAATGATGAATATATTTTTTTAGACACGTGTCCTGTTCTTCCATCGCCATTGCTTTATGTTTTTGCCAAGTCAGTGATCGTTATCTGGACTTATCCCGTCAATTCATATGTTAAAACTGTAATGGTCAAGTACTGGAATCATCAAATAACAAAGACTGTGAATGCATCGTATCCTGCTACTAATTTAACCACAACTGGTTTATCACCTTGTACGTACTATAATGTGACTATCAAGGCTGTCAGTGAACTGGGTAATGGACCATGGACTACAATCAGGAATTTCAGAACAGACTCGGAATGTATGTGTATTCTGTTTTGAATACATGATACACAATTAGTCTCTTAAATAGAATTTAACATTTATTTGCATGTTTTTTCGTATGGTATATAGTACCAAAAGTTGCCCCCAGTGGTGTTAGTGCACGAGCGAAGACGTCTCAAAGCATACTAGTTACATGGAAGGTAAACTTCTTAGAACTATTTCTGTATCGAATAAACACTTATTTATAAATATCTAGAGTAAGGAAATGAAGTACCATTACTATAGCAACTTCAGCTGTGCACCGTATCCGATTCAATTCGACACTCAAAGTTGTTTGAGCGAGGCKACGCACCGAAAGCATGTTATCATATAATTTTATTTTTCAGGTTCCCGCTGGAATCAGTTGTTCTCCCAATGGATACAAAGTTGTCTTCACAACTGCACCAGGGCGACCTGGTCAAAGCGTTTTTGTCAGTGGTTTTCAAAACACATCGTATACGTTGACTAACCTGAAAAAGTGGACTGAATATTTCATCCTTGTTCAAGTTCACAATAAGAAAGGAGATGGTCCACTAAGTACTGTTGTAAAGGAACGTACCTTGGAAGACGGTGAGAACCAATTTTTCCATCGCTATCTAAATAAAAATATTTTTCACGACAGCTTGTATTTTTTTCAGCACCTGATGCAGCACCAGATAATTTCCAGGTAAGACCTATCAACTCCACGAGTGTTCGTCTTTCCTGGAATTTACCACCTGGAAATCAGCAAAATGGTATTATCAGGGGGTTTAAAGTTTATTATTACAAAGCGTTTGCCATCTCCTGTCCTCCTGGGGAAAGTCCTCAGATCAACATTCTCTGGAACAAGACCTTTCATTATGTACTGGGAAATCTCGCCACGAACACTGAGTATACGTTCAAGATACTGGCCTATACCATCAAAGACGGTCCTTACTCAAAGGAAATCACACAAAAAAGAAACCAAATTGGTAAGTATACGGAACTGTTAGCAATTAAGTGTTTCTTAACGGCGTACGTCGCTTTCATTACCATACGTCCATATGTCCTCATACAGTCAGTACAATTTAAATATTTGTGATTTCAAAATGGAAGCATCAACAAGAACGACCGAAATGTAAGTTGTTCAAGTAAATGATATTTGTAATCATGATGTTGTTTAGAGAGCTGAAAGGAGTGAAGATCAAGTTTTGAAATATATCTTTTGATTTAATAAAGCTGTCACCGATGTGTCATCAGGAAGAACGCTAAGTTATATTCTCGGTGCGATAATCGCGGTACTGATTGCGATCATCATCGCATTGCTGTTTTACATTCGACAATTGAGAAATCATATCAACGGTAAGTGTTGTTTCTTTCTTTAAATAAATTGTGACCTGATAATGGACGGAGAATTTTTTAACCATGAAAGTCATAAACACATGCACAAGCGTAAACACGAGGTCTTTAGAGACAAATACATTGATTAAATAGCAAGAAAACCGACCTACTCAAGCACAGTCCTTAATGCACTGTCTGTACTGATTTATGCAGTCTTCAAATAAAACGCTAGGAACAGTGAGATTGAATTACTAACGCAAATCTATATTGCATTTGTAGATTCTCAAAGCAAATCAAAGAGGTATTATATAAATACTACATAAGAAAGATAAAAACTGCGCATGTATGTCGTCAAACTATAGTTTCATCTGGTGAATAAAACGAAAGAATTCTACACTCTTGGCAGTGCGGAAAATGCATCGTTTTCCCCTAAAGATGGAGCGAACAAAACGTCGATAAGAACTCGCATCTATTGCAT